AGTTTGTAATTACAGATTAAAGTTACATTAATGAATGACTAAAACCGATTTTGTTTCTGGACACTCTTTGTATGCAAAAAAAATTCATGAGAAACGCCTCCAAAATCGCAGTCAAAGGTGGTATCCTGCCTTAATGCATGTATCAATGTTTATTTATGTTTCAATCACCGACGAAAGACAAGAATACGTGACGCTTACGTTTCCTGTAGCCTGGAAACTTTACGCCGTCAAATCTTTTAACAGAAACATCTGGCAAAAATGTTTTTAACAAAACTTACTTGCTTTTTTCCGCAGAATGCAACCATCTAACATTTTATGGGGGGTTCCGTTTGAAATTGTGAAGTTACCCCCTGACCCCTTCTTGATTTGACAAATAGTTTCCGAAATATTCAGCTGTTAAGAGTTATGTGGGCCACCCTGTATAATTGTTCTTGCCTATTGTGATTTACATTTGACGAAACACTCTCGTATTATTTATCGTATATGAAATAATTTTTTTTATCAGAGACATAATGAATCTGATTTTTCCCGTTGGCTAATTTAAACGATAGAAATCCCGGCGGCACATCCAATTATCTGTGAAGAATCAGGCCAGCGGTTTATTGTTGCGGTACACGTAGCGCATCGCAAAAATGCGACGTCTCATTCCGTAGTCAGTTTACGACTGTCGGCTGCCTCCGAAATAAAACATACGAGAATGACACCTGGCTCGAGGAAATCGCCGGCGCTCGGCCGAGTTTTCTTGAATCCGCGAGAAATCACGACGGAGTTATTCCGGCGACCGTAAAAGGACCGGCCGGGAAAGGAACGTCGTCGTTCCGGAGGGATCGTCGTCGTCGGCGGAGGACATGCGAGACACGTAATCGCGAATATAACGCGTATCCGTGTGAAGTGTACTCTACTCCGCGCCGTGCGAGTCGCAGCATGAAAAGCAGCGAAATAAGTTTTTATGAATACCGCCGCTATCTCACATCATTGTGAGATAGAGTTTTACACGTGCCGGGAAATTAAAAAATGTCCGGATTATCATTTCATGCTCTACCAAAGGTCGACCGTGAATTGATCGATCAAATATATTCAGAATGCATATGTGGCTCATAATTGCAATCGGTCATGTATATTATTAACCTTTGAAAGGGGTCTCTTACATTCTAGTCATCGCAGTTTCCGTTTTACAATTTCACTTTTACAAATTTTTAGACGCGAGTGAAATTTTACTCGCCGCCCAGCTGAATTTAATCGCACACCCCTGCGCCTGCCGGCTGTTAAGAAAACAATATATAAATTTTGTTTCAATAAGTAAAAAAAGTATTTTGTTGTATTTTAATTTCTAATTTTGTAGTTCATTGATCACTCGTGAATCAATACCTTCCGATAATATTGCTTATAACAAATTCTGTATCCCCGCTTTACCCGTCGTGTAATTTTCTTTACGTTCCCTGTAAACGGTTAATACGCAATATGAAATACGCACACTGAAAAAAATTTCTGGTTGAATATGGACGAATCAGATAATTCCTTTAGGATTTACCAGAATTCCTTTAGGATTTACCAGAATTTCTGTAATCATTACAGAAATTCTGGTAAATCCTAAAGGAATTATCTGATTCGTCCATATTCAACCAGAAATTTTTTTCAGTGCATGTCTTACACCTTTTATTATGTCATATAAAATAGACGGAATATTCTCCCCGAGATTGCAGACACGGATACATTATGCAAATGTGACACTTTGAAATCAGTAATGTAATAAATGCGCGCGTTGTTAAAGATATCTAAAGGAGTCTAGTCAGAATAAGTGTTTGAATCAATGAATTAATTACAATATGATTATTCTAGGAAATAATACGTCTGCGGAAACAATCCGTGCTTATTGTTGTCGGTGATAAATAGTTATCGATTCATTTAAATATATTTTACATAATTATCGGCAATTTCAAAAACTCTAAAAAATAGCGGTGTGACCTTCCACCACATTCACGTGGTTAAAGAAGTCGGTGTGAATTTTTTAACATCGATATTGTAGAAAATCTTTCGCAACGACAAACGAGGCGTCAACTTCGATGCTATATGATGTTGTTTTCACGACATGCGATGTGATCGCAATGTTAATTTCACATCGTTAAGGTGAGAATTATATAAACACCTGAATGGGTCTTCATTTCACACCATTGGTGCACTGAAAAAAATTTCTGGTTGAATATGGACGAATCAGATAATTCCTTTAGGATTTACCAGAATTCCAGTAATCCTACAGAAATTCTAGTAAATCCTAAAGGAATTCTGGTAAATCCTAAAGGAATTATCTGATTCGTCCATGTTCAACCAGAAATTTTTTTCAGTGTGAGAATTCACATCCATATTTCTTAAAGTAAATATAATTTAGTCTTCATGGCTTCCGGATAATTGTTTAATCACAGTCTTCGTGATGCGTTTGCAAGTGTTTGTCACTGATTCACCACAGTCAATAGTGATTAATAGTAACTTTGTGGTAAACACTTATAGAAGTAAAATTTTCCATGCCCGCTTTATTTTTTCGCATTCTTCCGTCTTGCAGCGCGCGACACGTTTCAGAATGCACTTGAATAGTCTGATCGATGTATAATTTTCCGCACGAAAGGCTTCATAGCGACACGAAGTTTACGACTTGCGTTTTACCTGAAACCACATATACGAGTACGTCTCCATTCGAATAATCGGAACTCTTATTCGCATCGAGGCCGCTTATTATACTGGGCGTCGACCTTAACCCGGTTCTTGCACGGTTATGCTAATTAAGCAGTTCGTATTCAACGTGATTTATTGCCTAATATAATCCCTAATACAATCCGCCTACAATTGCTTTACCTTATTTTGCAATACGTAAAGTTTCATATCGCTAAAATTATTTACTTGAGAAAAACATTGGTAACAATTTACAGAATATGTGATTCACATTCGTTGAGTGATCAGGAAATTTGATGACGCGCGATCTGCATTCTATCGTATCGTTTTTACCGATGCTTAACTATTTGTAATTAAGATCCGTTTGACCAAGGACGGATTTTTCCACTGTCGACGGTAACGCGCGTTTCCTTCGCGCCGTCCGCTCTTCCTACTCGGAAATCAATGTACCTGCGACCTTGGATGACTGCGGTCAACGGGAGCCCCCCATGGCATTGCGGAATCGGTATGGCTGGTCACGTGTCCACTGCCTCGTCGTGTGTGCGTATCGCCCGTGTGCCGAGTGGCCGTATTAGCGATCGCAGTCTCGCTGCGTCGCGCGCGTTGCTCGTTCAGTTGTGTTGGGGCATCATCCTCGGCGACGCGTCTCTTATCGTCGGTCCGCAATCGGCACGTGGTCACACGTACGTGCGTATCTACGTGCGTGAACGGGTGTGCGTGCACCTGTGTACCTGTGTACATTTAGTCAGGTGTATCACCTTGATCGCTAGTCGAATCACGGACGCGCGCGGCCCGATACCCGCGACATTCTTGTCGCTCAGTCGCTATTCGAGACGTATACGTATAGCATGGAGAAATGTCGAGGGACGGTAGAAAAGGTATGCGCGCACGATAAATTTCCCGGGTAATTTTTGTGAATTTCTGTGTGGGTGCGATAGTGACGCCGCTTACTTCGGGAGAAGAAACTCCATTCACTCGATCGCTGTCGCGCGAATTTCAATTTTATCAGTTTTGTCGATTGTGAGTAGAACTTTGCGGATAGGATCGACACCGATTTCCGATAAGGTCGTTGAAAGTTTATTGTGAAGTTCTTTAGAGTTTATTGTTTAGAAGTGCTTCATGGGGAATATCGTTAAATAAAATGTGCGCAAAAATACACCTGGTACACGAAAAGAAAAATGTATGGACAGCTAATATTTACTTGTGACAGCTAAATATTTTGCTACTGTGCCTATTGTATTAGGTGCGGATAGCAAACCGTTTGCTGTGGTTTAGAAATTTATAGTTACGGCAGCAAAATATTTTTAGCGAATCACGATATAGTTACGGTAACGAAAAAGGTTTTTTTTTTCGGTGTAGATTTAACGTAGAAGCTAACTATATTGTATCATAACGTACTATTTCTGTGCGTAAGTGATTTGATACAGGAATCGATTTTCTATTAGATTTGTAATTCGACATCGCGAATGTCTTATTTTATAACAGTCGATATAACTTTCCGTATTTCAATTTTCTATTTTTGCGCACGTGCATAAGAGATTTGATTATCGATTTATCGATTATTGTCTATTATAACATTTCGACATCAGCGAATATCTTGTTAAAATTATTTTATAACATTCGTGATGATATGTAGCTTGTTGGCCAAAAGGTAGCTGTATGTCAAAAACGATCTTATATGAATATTACGCATAAATAAATAGATTTAGAAACGAGTATAAGGCGCTTACAAGTAATTATGATAGGATGCGACAGATGGTAACATTATTTTGCCGTAAGTAGATTGCAATATGTGCCGCACGGAACGAAGAGCGTCCGATGCTTCGGGTGAAACTCTCTTCCTTTAAACATACGCATATAATTAACGCGACGAGAGAGACACGGGAATTCGGCTCACGTTACTACTCGCAGGTGTACGATAATAGAAAGTGTTTCTTCAGCTATTGCTTTTAAACAGAGTGATGGTAACATATTGACTACTCTCAAGGACTTGACGATTAAATGTACGCTACATGTACGAGCGACTAATAAGTCATTAGAATATAAAATAGCCATGAGAATGTGCATGATGTGTAACTATTAGTCATTAAAAAAACATTACTTCAAAACGCGCCATCCAGCATATAGTCATAACATGTCGGGCATACGTTTTATCATTTTAAAAGCAAAACAACTGATAAAACGGCTCTTCTCGTGTCCGTTCTAAAGTAATGATCATGATAACGTAAACGATAAATACGTAGAGATCAGTTATATAACTTTTCTTTGAACTTACATATTCATGAATTATTTCTCGAACGTTTTCCACAGCCTTCAGTCTACATGAAATATTTGAGTTTTAAAAGATCAACATGGGGTCCTTACATGAAATGGATTAATTATCCTTCGTGGATGAAAGTAATTTCAAGGCATTTGCTAATTGAGTATGCAACGTATGTGTGGCAGCGGACGCACACAATTATACTCATATTGAATACTGTATTTGCGTAATAAATTTTCGCGAGTTGGCCATAACCGTTTGAAATAAAGAAATCGTGTGTTGAAACTGAAGAGGAAACATAAAGCTGCATTGTAATCGTTGTAACGTATTGTTAGTCATCCCACATAGCACAGCGACATCACAGTGATATCAGTGTGATATCTGTTTAAGAATATCCCATATCCCAGAGATATCTTGAGATATCCAAATTACATCAGTGTGATATCACGGGAATATCCAAATATCCGCCTTTTATCACATCTCAAGTTAATATCTAAGAGACATCTTTGTGATGTCCCAAAATAATGTTAATGTGACGTAACATGCAATGGGACGTAACGGAAACGTCCTTGCGATATCGTTTTATTCTAAAAAGATATCCCAAATAGCACAAGGACGTCCAGGACGGACTTGTGCTATTTGGGTAATAGCGAGGTAGTAAAACATTAGCAGGTTATGTATTAAAAAATCTTAGAGACAACCTGCTGTCGAGTCATATCGGCTCGCCTTTTATACTAATACGGGATGATTTTTTCTTACGAGAAAGGTTAACGCGCTGTCGCCACGTCGCGGCAGTGAGTGGTACTAGTACTGTATTATACTATTTTGAAAATACATGTTCAGGATAAATGTCCGAGAGACATCTATATATGATATTACATATAGATGTCTCTCAGATATCTTTGAGAGATCTGTGTATGATATTACATAAAGATGTCTCTCAAATATCTTTGAGATATTTGCTACGATATCTCTGAGACATTTGTATAAAGATATCTCTCAGATATCTCTGAGATATCTGTAACTTCATAAGGATATCCTTGTTACGTCAGTGCTATGTGGGATGTAAGGTCTCCTGAAAATTATTCACGTCAAACGGCTATTAATAATAAACCGATTTTGGGTTTACAGTTGTTTAAAATTCGTTGACACAGTGCTATGCTAATGTGCACAGCGTAAATTAAAGCTAATCTTTGAATTTACATGTTGCACGCGGTCATCTTTCAAACAGCTCATACTTGTGCCTCATGTTATGTCGCGTGAGGTTTACATTCAACGTATTACATCGGTAATGTATAAAACCAAAACGGTTCTCCAACTTAGCAAAGTACCTTGTCAGATAATTTTTTGCGACGGCACTCACTGATGTCGTCAGCTGATTTGGCATGAGTCAATTCAGACTATTTGGTGAAGTGCACTTGCTAGAAGTACACTTTGAAAATTGTATTTTAATGATGGTTATTTATATCGACGTTTGTGTATCATATTTATATTTGTTATATACCCGCGTGCTGCATAGTTGCGATTATAAATTCAGATTATATATTTTACAATATTTTATTAAATATATGTATAATAACTTTAATACTTTTAATGTTTCAGTTTTTATTCTTCCATAGTTTTTATTTATTTTTGTTAACGATAAAGTATAATGTAAATTTACTATTATTTAATTTGGATGTAACATGATGTTATTATTAAATTATTACTTATTAATATGCCATAAACAACAACTAAACATAAGCATGTCAACTAACTACAATTTTTTAGGTAATTTAAAGACGTATGATATTTCAATTATATTTATTAAACTTTTACAGGAGAAGAAAGGCTAATCGATAACTTAAAATAAACTTGCACACTGAGAAAAATTTTTATCGGATAAACCAATTAAATAGCGTTTCCGATGGTTAATTGTTCCGATTACGTTTTCCGATTAAATTATGAATATATCCGATGAAATTTATTTGATAAAATGCAGTTACCGATGGAACTTGATTGAAAAACCGATCACATGTTTTTATCGGATATACAATTTAATCAGGTATATCCGTTTGTTATTATTGTTAATTAGATTTGTTAATTGGATTATCCGATTACATATATTCAATCGGACATTTTTCTCAGTGTAGTGTTTTTATCACAGTGATATAAATTTCATATGAATATAATCTGATTACATATAGTTTTATCTCTAACAAACTGTTACGTCGCTCAGGGATAATCGAGTGAAGAAATGTTATCAAACAGAAAAGCGAACATATTTTAATTTCGGTTGCAGATTTTTCGACAAACCCGGAGGTTGAGCAGTTGTTATCCGGCGAGGCGCGCAACGACGTGTCGGACATACGTGTGAGACTTGAGCCAGACGAGCGGTTATCCGTCAACGAGTTGTATCTTCAAGGTGGCGTTCCATCGTCGCTTCAGAATAAATCCGTGGCATTAAATCATAACGCATACATAGCGGAAAGCTCGAACGGCCCGACCGCCGTGATAACGCCGATTATCGCAAACGGCAACGACAGTAATGGCGATCCGCCGCCTTACGTCACGATCCCGCCGCCTTATAGCGCGATCGCGCCACCAGATCACATCGGTTGGCCGTACGGGCTTTTCCCATTCGGCGATTCGTATTCCACGGACGGGACGACTCGTAGGATGGAAATACCGTTAACACCTTACCAAGCCTGTCTGCCACCGGCCACGAGTTTCCATCCCGAAGGGATTAATGGTCAATACGCGCCGTATCCGATGCCCTTAATGCCTTACCGGTTCTTCAAGTTTGGTTGCCGTAGGAACTCTTTCGCGTCGAGGGAAACGGCGGACGACGAGATCGCAGACAAAATCGAAGATAGAAAATCACGAAGTGAGCATCAGTGGTTAAATTGTGATCCTGGCTGCGTGTATTTTTTTAATTGTAAAATTGCAAAAATAATTGCTATTACTATACATTTAAAACTTTCCTAGAATTAATTTAAATATTATAATCTCTCTCTCTCTCTCTCTCTCTCTCTCTCTCTCTCTCTCTCTCTTTTACAAGCTTCAGCTTATTCAATGGGACGATCAGTCTATATTTACTATGTCTATGTCGATATGCGAGTATTGTAGCAACATACATTCAATTTTATCAATAATAGACACTAGGTCGATCTGCTGTTATGCTAAATGCAACTATTATGAGATTTAAAAGGCAAATCATTATTTTTAATAGAATACGGCGCTATCCTCGTGGCAGCGGCGGTCATTATCTTTGTCATGGCCTTATCCTTGATGGTTCGCTTCATTATGGAAAAGAGCTGGTGGCGAAGATAACTCATCGATGGAATCTATGTTTACTACGGAAGTGATAAATTCTGACTTACGAGATATTATTAATTAACGATTTAATAAAAATTGATTAATCCGACGTAATATCTGCTTAATCAGGATATATATTTCCGGAGATGTCGAAATGGAATCTCAAAGAGCTCTCGAGAGAATTTTTCCTTGTCTCATTTTTTATTTCTCTCATCTATTACATTATGTAACAAAAATATATTTATTGCTTCATTATTGATTAATATGTTCTGTATTGTCAATTTTATATACATATTTTCTTCAAACTTTTTTTCGCGACAAGATAATAATATGAAAATATTCTAAAATTCATTTCATTTTATTGTGCGATAATATGATTTGTTAGGGAATAAAATTTACATGTAACACAAGTACTAGAGAAATGAAATATCTTGTTGCGTTTGCCACTCATATTATGATTACTCTATGCTTATTATAAATGAAAAAAATACATTTTGATACAACTATAGACGAGGAACAATTTTCTTTAAGTTAATTGAAATAATAGTACATTTTTAGAAATTATTATTATTATCAGGATCTACTTTAAATTGAGGAATGGATGTTGAATTTTATAACTATGATATTAAGTATCTTTGTATGTTCATTGTGATTTGTGTTATATTATTAAGTATGCCATATATGTAGCTTAATTAATTTATTAATTTCTTTATGTAATTTATAAATCTGTAATTGAAATGACGTTGGCGACGTTGTACGAAGTTCATAATTATTTGTCAAGCCCGTTATCCACTTAACGTAGAAACTTGGACGCTTATTGGCCCGATGGGACGCCGATGACGAAGTAGTGGAAGACAGGGAAGGAGTAGACAACATCGTGGTGGAAGGCAAGGTAACTGAACAATAAAGTTAAGAAAGAGAAGGGTAAATGGAGGCGCTCATCGTATACTGATTAAAAATACAGACTTGTATCTCTCGAGAATAGGTGATCAGAAAAGTCTGAATATCCTGGGAGATGTGAAAGTTTGTAGCTGAAGGTAAATTCTCAGGGTGAAAATGGATAAAACTACTAAGATCATAAGTAGACTTACAGTTTAGCTAAGTCCCGAATAATAGGCGGTTTAAGGGTGCTCGAATATCTCGGTGAATATATTTTTATTTTCCATAGACAAGATATACACAGCTATGTTTCTATATAAAAGTGTCGAACATACGTCTTGCTAAAATCTTTGTCAATTTGAACATTTGCAATTCAAATCATGATTCTCGTTCTTCTTGTTCTGGCCAGTATTTAAATATGCAAGAACTAATCTCTCTATACATTAAGATGAAAAATCGTACGTGCATACAATTTTTATAACGCTTTGAGGTACGGGTTTCTTGTTGAGAACGTATGATAATAAAGGGCCTTATAAAATAAAAGGGTGAGGTCGATTTTCGTCGGCCAGTGGTTTGCGCAAAAGCCGAAGAGGATCAAAGATGATAGAAGCTTAATGCAGGAGGAGAAGCCCCAAGAACGAAAAGAAACGCAGGCTATAAAGCCAGACAAGTTAGCGACCAGAGCAGCGAGGAAAACGAAAGGTCGGAGGGCTGATGAAAAATACAAAAATTTCCTCCCTTGAAAGAGTAAAGGGGACGGTGGTGGATTCATGCTAGGAAAACGACGCCAGGACACTCGAGGCCAGAAGGCCCGCGAACGAGGGTAAGGTGTTTGTCAACGGTTGCCGGTAGTTAATTACTTTACATGAAAGGAACTTTCAGCCGTTTCGCCACTCGAGGCAACCTCGGTGCCCGCGTGCCATCAACCCCTCCGCCTCCTCCCTTTCGCATCTCCTTCATGGATCTGAGTGCCACCCCTTTCCATCCCTCGCCCCGCGTCCCTCACCTTTCTGTCACCTGTAAGAGTTTACGAGTATCTAATCCGGCAGGCGGGCCGTACTTACTCTGTAAACGAGGCTCCTCGCTACCCCTTGTAGCGACCTCGATAAAGAGGCTGGAGAGATACGTGTAGATCTCCATTCAGAAATGTGTAGCGCGTTACACTTCGTTTGATCTCGATTGCTATTGAAATAATCAGAGTGGCGAGCTGACACGCGTTAGGACTGTAATCTCATTCAACAATTTTTTTAAGAGCACATTCAAATTTTTTACTCGTCAGATCGTTTTCGTTAACCTCTGACATCTTTTTTATGACGTGCAATTATTGACAAAATACTTTTCGAATGCCTCACATTCTGTACGTTTTTATTTTCGCTGAATATTCAGGGATATGTACAAAATGCCCTATTTTTATAATTTAACGTTAAACGCTTCAACTCAATTTGAAATTGAATTTTAAACAAAAAAAAACATCGAGGCTAAAAAATTTTTATTAAATTAAAACGCATATATGTATATAAAGAAGCATATTTTTTTCGAGTAGGTCAGCGTTTTCTCTCTTTTAGCTTGAGTTATTCCACGAAAGTCTTGACATCTTTTAAGAAGAAGATATGAAAAAATAACACATATATTTCTTTTCTTTTTTATTTGAAATACAAGTTGAAATATCTTTGATCCTAAGGGAAAATGAAGGGAGAGATGAGAAATGAAAGAACGAAAGAGGCAGATTTATAAACATTACCGTGATTGCACGTGCGAAACAACTCGCTTCATAAACTATTACTACACTTCCTTCAGCAACCATCTACCGCGTATCGTCTTTAATGTTTTACCCTCTTAGGTAACTCTCGTATGAGCTGGTTGCCATGGGCGACAGAAGCGCAAAATGCGCAGCCATACTGTATATTGCGCACATATGATACGATCCACATAATTAATTATATATTACAGGATTTTATTTATTTGATAATATTTACAATCTTCGCGTTTTTTTTTGTTAATCACTGTCGTCTCTTATTAAGTTATTGTGGAAAACCGTCCAGTGTGTGAGAAAACTAACGTCGAATCGACGTTAAATCGACGTCGATGGAGTCGAAATCGCGTCCCAACTGTCAGTTTTCGAAAATAATTAAGTTTTGGAAATTTATTTTTCGTATTAAATTTTGTATTAAATAAGTTAACTTGGCAGTTCTCTCCCATAAGATGTTAAAAGTATTCAAAACATTAAACGTAGTAATTTAGTACAAAGAGTAAAGCTCCGAAACCTAATTATTTTCGAAAACCTGACGATTGAAAGGCGGTTTCGGTCCCATTGACGTCGATGCGACGTCGAGTCGACCTTAGTGTGACGGCCGACCTCGCTGGGCGTGAACACAAAACTTAGAAATTGTATGTACGTGTTAACCGAGTTTACAATTCACAACAGACTCTTCTTTCTGTGGTGATCGTATATTCGGCGGGTCGAGAATGCGCATTGATGTACAGTACATTTCGAATGAAGCATTTTCACGGTTTCTTACTCGCGCTCTCGTAATAACGCGACAGAAATAGTGGTGCAACGTGAAAGCACGATACATGATTCATATACGGCCCGAATCTCATATCGGTTTCTGATCCTCCGGCTATGACGGCTTTTGAAGGGTCACTTCCCGCCCGCGCTTCATCCCCCGCGCCCTTAACCGGCGCCGCTCTGTTTATTGTTACGTCGCATTTATGCATGAACCCACGCGATTCTATTGTCACGTACACATGACGAACCACGCTGGGCGGAAGGGAATGCTTCGTGCTTTCTGAGCGGAAGTCGGCGGTGGCGTGAATGGAGGTGGGGTTATTGGGCCAAAGCGGAAATCGATGGCACCCTGTCTTCCCGGGAGCGCGCGGCCCTCCCGCCGGCTCTTGAAAGCCAAATTACCGTTTTTCTCGTGTTTTTAATTACACGCTCAACGCCCAAACGTTTCAGCGGCTGTTTAATCCGCCCGTTCTTGCTTTAATACTGTGAAATTCGTCCCGTTGTAATAGATTGCCGAATGAAATGAAGGAATCGAGTATAAAGCTAATATGCACAACTATTTAAATCGCTCTTATTTATTACATCAAGTGCTTTATCGGGATGTACCAGAGAGAAATGTATTGCTAAAGCTTGTCTGAAGTTTCGTCGGGATTCTACAGTGGATAAGCGATTAGAAATTATATCTGAGCGCGATCAAATTGTGGGTTAACAATACTTGATCGGCCAGAATAACTGAGGAAGTGGCATTGGCCAATATCTATATTACATCTCGAGGTTGTAATCTTCTGGTGGAGGACGAGGCAAAAGGGTGCGAGGTCGGAAATGCGAGCGTTCGTGGGGAAGGCTAAACGCGAGAGGAAGCTCTTGGACGTGGTCGTTTCCGGCCCTGAAGTCTGATGCGTCTTGACTCGAATCCCGACGTTATCGCGACAATTGAATAGGTCGAGCCCTCCTTGCTTTGGCGTTCTCGCTGCACAGCTACGATAAGCCTCAGAAACAGCCCTTAATGGTTTCCCTCGCGATTGCCGGTATCTATATCCTCGATTCAAGCCTGTCGCGTCCCTGCCGCGCGTCTCTCTCTCTCTCTCTCTCTCTCTCTTCTCGTTTTACCATCGACGTTGCCACTTTTGCAGAAACACTCGTACAGCAGCTCGGCGAGGAACCATCGATGGTCCTCTCCGCGATGCGATTTCAGATCGTGGCGCGGTTATGAGCATGTTTTCAGATCGGGTGGAAATAAGACGGTATATATGTGTGTCTTATTGTTCTCGACGAAATCTCTTGAGTTCTAGCAACCTTTATTAATTCCGGTAATTATTTAGATTGACACACCCACCTCCAATAACCTTGGGCTTGACATATGTTGTCAAGGTTACCCTCCTGAGTAACGCTCAGAAGGATTTAGCCGGCGCTCGTTGTTTATTAAAAAGTTATAAAGAAAAGAAGTTTCGCAAATGCTATGTAGTTCACGATATCATGTACGTTTAGGATGGCCTCACGTGGAAAGTTTCTGACACCATATACAATTCAAAGAATGTATAAGTGTCTTTGAGTAATAGTTTTCTAGAAAAATGATGGAGTCTAAATCTTGTATCTTTTTAACGAATCAGTTGCAAGTGTCTTTAGCA